ATAGTACCCTCCATCACATCCGTGAGGTCTGTGATGCGATTGAAAGACATTCCCTTGGCCCATTCATAGACAACTTCGGCGAGACCAAAGCGGGGCTTGCTGGCAAAATCGTTAGAATCTTCACTAGACTGAATGACCTGGTGTAGAATCTGGAAATCATTCACTCTCTCGGCGATGCGAACGATCTCCTTCTGGCCCTTCTCCAGACGAGGAGTGAGGGTGGGTGTGCTTTCTGTCTTCTCTTGGAATACAAATGCAGAGAGCAATGCAACAATCTCTTCCGGTTCGTATTCAGCAAGAACATTCTCGAGAACCAATTCGGTCAGTACCAGCTCGTCAGCGGAGTGAATCTCGCATGCCACTTTGCCCTTCAGTTGCACACGAGATTGTTCGTCAACAAATCCGAGCTCCCTCAGCACGTGGATACGCTGCTCATAATCCGGAAGTAGTTGAAGGTTTTGGTCAGACATCAGTTGCTTCAGCTCCGAGATGTTTTCTTTAACCTGCCACTCGTCGTGTTGCATCTCGAACTATTTAAAATTAGTATAGGGCTCAGATGAATAGAAATAAGACACTCACGTGTTTCACGAAATCAGGGCATTGTAGGCAGTGGCATGACTGAGCAATTTCTGCCTGAGCTTGTCGTTTGTCAAGGATATCGCGAATTTCCATCTCTTTGATGCGTTGCCAGTCAATCTCTTCCCAGCCCGTATGGATCCAGGAGTTGGTGTACTGGTACAGTTCAAGTTCAGCCCACTTGGTTGACTCTGTTCCTGAATTAGTATTTTTGACATCCTATATGTGAAAAGAAGCAAGTATGCTCTTACCTTTCTTAATGTTTAGATACCACATTGGTTTTGTGATCTTGACCAGCGTGTTTGTCACGCACTCAACGTCGGACAATGGGATCTTGCATACTCGAAGGCTCATGTCATCGACGCGACTAGGGAGTGGTTGGAAATAGTGTCGGAACATAGGCAAGAATGGGAGAATATCGGTGGGGTGCCGCTTGTTACTCAAAGTTCCGATCTCAAATACTTGGATACAAGGTACCGCCCCGATGACTCCCGCGGAAGCCCCATCGCGCGTAATAACACCAGCAGTACGTTGTCCGTCCTAACGATCATGTCAGCATTCTCCCAACCACATACTACCACAACATAACATAACATATGAACTCACCTTGCGGTACACAACCAATCTCTTCGACGTGAAAACACGTTTGCCGACAGGCGATGATAGCAGCTCGGTGTGGAACTCAGCTGTGAGCTTTCGATATTCCATGGCGGCATCATGGCAGGCCATCAAATCCAGGTCACAGATCTCACATGGTGTCCGTTTGATCTTTGCAAGACTGGCCTCAGATACCTGTACTTGCTTCTCGTGTTCCGGTAAGAGAGCTTGTGTTGCGTTTTCACTGAAACTCCGCTTGATCATTTCCTCAATCTTTAGGGCTTCCACGCGCAACAGATTCAGAATCATGTTGTATGTCAGTCGGAATTGAGACCTAAGCTTTGTCGGGTCTCCAAGGATCATCTGTTTCAGCGACGCAGCAGACGGGGCCTCGTCCTTTCCGCTGTTTGTCACGATAACATACCCCACCGTGTCGAGACCTCTACGACCAGCACGTCCCGCCATTTGCGTATATTCGCCGGGCAAGAGATCACGGAATGATTTGCCGTCGTGCTTACGGAACCCGGAGAATACCACAGTTCGGGTGGGAAGATTCAGACCCATCGCGAAGGTTTCTGTGGCGAACAGGACCTTTACCAGCGATCTAGCGAAGAGAATCTCAACAACCTCCTTCATGATGGGCAGGAGACCACCATGGTGTACAGCAATGCCTCTGCTTAGTAGCTCACGAAGACGAAGAATCTGCGGTAGCGTGCGGTCTTCGGGTTTCAATCGGGTAAGTGATTTCTCGATGAACATGTGGGTCAAACTCTTCTCGCTGGCATTGCTAAAGTCTTGATTTGACAATGAATCTGCGTTCTCCTCGCATCGCTTCTTAGAGAAAACGAAAACACATGCGGGCAGCAAGTCTTCTTTGCGAAGATGCGAAACAAGATGCACCCAGGTGTTCTTGTCCTGGGCCGCACTTGTACGACCACCACCACGGCCTGTGCGAGCAATGTTGCCTGTTCCTCGGTTAGAATACTGTCCGCCACCCTGTCCCCGACCTCGCTGTGGACCTCCACGCTGTGGGCCGCCGCGGCCACCTCTGACATTCGCTGGCTGACCACGTCCCCGGCCCTGGGGGACTGGTGCTCTAGCTTGCGCTGACTGTGCCTGAGCTTCAGCCTCCTTCTTAGCTTTGGCCTTATCTTTGCCGGACAAAATATCATCCGCTTCCTTCCAGCCGCTCTCAAGGAATCTTTTGTTGGAGTCGACGATCTTGTGCTTGCTCTTCCCGGCCCAGAGATAGTGCTCCAGCGGGACAGGTCGCTTATGGGTTGAAATGACATAGATATCCTTCTTCTTTGTACGGCCGACCCAGGATGCAAACTCCCGGGTATTGGGCACAGTGGCAGAGAGAAGAATCAATGTGACATGCTCCGGAAGCATAATGATGACTTCTTCCCATACCACACCTCGTTCGAGGTCATTCACATAATGCACCTCGTCGAAAATAACGAATTCAACATCGCGGATGAGATCAGCGCCACGGTACAGCATACTTCGCAAGATCTCAGTAGTCATGATGAGACAGCTGGCTTCCGGGTTGATTTGAACATCACCGGTCAGAATACCGACGTCGTCGAACTCGGTTCTGAAATCACGGTATTTCTGGTTGCTCAGAGCTTTAATCGGAGACGTATAGATCGCTTTGGTCATGTGTTTAGCAGCCAAAGCGATTGCGTATTCAGCCACAACTGTCTTGCCTGCCGAGGTATGGGCCGCAACAAACACCGAATCACCATTCTCAAGATGGTAAACGGCCTCCTTCTGGAAAGTGTCAAGCTCAAATGGCCACTCTCTGGCCATATCAGGAACCAATTCATTGAAGTTTGGAATATCCTTGTTGATGTCGACAACGTGGGCCCATTCTTTACCCTTTTGCTTGTGGATCCCTGCGAGCAACTGGCTACGCGGTTCCAATGCCGGGAACTCAACCGGTAGCAAAGCGTCAATATCTTCTTCTTCTTCTTCTTCTTCTTCATCCTCGCTGACATCGTCAAGCTCGGCCTTTGCTCCTGTATCAACATCCGCAATCTCCTCGGGTTGGTCCACTTTGAGGTCGCTGTCCTCTTGAAGAAGGGCGGTTTCGACTTCTTGGGCGCCTTCGGTGGCTTCTTTGGATTTGGCTTCATCGAAATCAACACCGTTATCGAAACCAGGGGGTGTGGTCAAAAGACCCCCCTCTGTGCCAAAGTTAATGATGCGATCGAGCCCTTGTTTCCCGTTCTTCGATTGTTCTGTGACCTGAGCCTCGGCCTCCATTGCTGCCAAGGCCTCGATGGCGTCCAAGCCCCCCGGGGCAAAAGGAAAGAAGCCTGCGGCACCTCTAACAAAGTCGGCGCGGCCAGCAGGTCGGCGGAGAAGCGAGGTGGAATTCTTGGCTGTTGCGCTTGCAGCAGGAACAGTGACTTCTTGATATCCAGTAACACGTCCCTCCAATCCCTCTCGCGTGAAACGAGTCACTGTCCGTGTTTGTGTTGGGGCGAGTTCGAAAAGGTCTGCGTAATCCGTCGAAACATCCCATCGTCTGCCAAACCTGTCAAAAAGCTGCCCCGCAAATGAAAACATAATACTTACTTACCTTTGGAGAGTGTTCAGCCATTTAGTGCTGAATTTGTCTGATGGGCTCAAGAACTCATTTTCAAGTTCCGTTAGCAACTCTTGGGCGCTTTGAGGAGCTTGCTTCCGAGCTTGAAAGTTCTCGATCTTGCCATTCTCTTCGTCTGCGAGACGAGCATCGAAGGTCGAAGGGTCAAAGCCTTTGCCTTCTAGGCCTAAATTCTTCATTGGGGCGTCCAGTGAGTCCGCCATAGTATGATGTACCGTGTTGAATAGTCAACCGGTGAGTTGAAGTTATGATGTTTGACTCGGCAATGGCCGAACCCCACACCGATATGTGTATCGATTTTAAGTTCTAGCGCAAAGCCGAGAAGAACTGTTCTTGGACATGAGAAAAGGCAAATGTAACGGATAAAATTGGGGCTGCGAGTAAGTATGATGAAGTATTTCGAAGGGATTGAAGAAAAGATCATTCAGCAACAGGTCAACCGGTAAACTTCTCTCAGTGACACCCAAGGCGGTATATACCGGCAGTATCCATGACGTCGATGTCGGTGTGGGGTTCTCAGGGGGCAGGCCGCAAGGCTATTATAACATCTTTCACACAACCTAACTAACTATTTATTCCCAATTGGTAAACTGAGATATTTATAAAGTTTACGTCCTTCCATTGCTTTCATATCTTTAATACATAGACAAGTCCTCTGTACAGGTTACCTTTATACTGTAGTAGAGTGATAAACCCAGCATGCTTAGTTATGTCAGACTGGGATATGCCCACAGGCCTTAAACAGCAACCATGGTTTTTGTTATGGTCTAATGGTGAAGATAGCTGTATTTTCCCCCTCGATTTGCCCTATAGCCGTGCCAACCGCCTGTAAGTAACGATAAAGTGACGTCTGTGAGATTAAACATATCCACTTAACTACTTTCAAAAGAGAGGTACTCAGTCAGTTCTTTTACATTGCATAAAGCCTTAATTTCAGGGAAATACTGTTATGCTAAGGCATACACTGTCCACTGCAAGAAGCACGCTATACTCTAGGTAGACACTATGAGACCGCGGTTTAGTGTCAAAGCAGAATCTACAAGCCGTCTACGAGGTAGAGGACGCCCGTCAACATCAAATTGATTATGCTGTAAACCTACTGCAACCTTTATCCGTCCGTAAGCCCCGACTTCCGTTAAACGGGAAAATAATCCAGAGGAATGCCCGGCCTTCTCCCACACCTCATGCAATCTAAGCTACCCTGTTGCGCAAGCTACACGTAACTCAGACCGCCATCAACACCCAGGAACTGACCCGACACAAAGCTTGCCCCGGCGCTCGCTGCGAACAAGATGACATTGGCAACCTCTTCCGCAGTTCCGTTGCGCTTGATGTATTGCTGAGCCCGAAATTTCTGGGTCAGGGGATGATCCTCCGGGGGTGCGTAGTCAGTGTCAATGGGACCCGGTGAGACGACATTAACAGTGATGCCTTTCTCTCCAAGTTCTTCGGCCCAAGCTAGGGTCAAGGTATTCAGGGCACTTTTGGTGCAAGAGTAGAGCGCAGCCTGTTTGGCCCCAGTGCGAGCCACCACACTACCCACATTGACGATACGGCCACCGGGAGAAGCGAGGTAGGGAAGAATAGCTCGCACCAGGAGGTGAGGGCCTCTGACGTTGGGGTGGAACAAGGCGTCAAACTCTTCGACTACGACTTTTTCGGTGTTTTCCTGAAAAGTTGCGTGGCCTGCGTTATTGACGACGATGTCTACTTGACGTCCGGGGAAACCATCCACGACTGCACGAGCAATATCATCTCCGAAACTAAGAGAGCCGGCGTCAGACTGAACGGCGATGGCCTTGACCCCAAGCTCCCGGATCTTAGCAACACTGAGATGGGCTGCGACTTTGTTGGAATTGTAATGGAGGACAATCTGCGAGGTATCAGCTTCGTCCTTTCTCGGGGTGCAAAAGATCTCACATCAGCACCACCCTTGGCTAAAGCATAGGCAGTCGCAAAGCCAATGCCATTCTGCTTTGAAGCGCCAGTGACGATGGCTAATTTTCCTGTGAATTCAAGGGATGACATGTTTTTTGGGAGCAACGAGGGCAATAATGGCAGAGAAAGTAAAAAAACAAACTAATGATTTGGTATAGTTTGGAGAGGTGTCACGAGTTGGTCGAGGCATTCAGACCGGCCATAGTGACTCTTATATATCCTAGGTGTCAACCTATACGTCGCGACGTCTGCAGTAGTTAATATGATGACGGTCAGGTTCGTCCAATAATGCAGACGTGCACCTGCGACATTACGAGACCTCTTCGCATGCCAAAACGGTATATTGTGTATGCAGGTTTCGGTGAGCCCGCCGAGCCCGCCGACCTCGGGAGTGCCGCGAGCCAATTCAGCGGGGGGCCCAGGGTGCACGGACTTCAAACAACGTCAGATTTCGGCGGCGCTATAGTCTGCTCCACTTGCTAGCACTCCACATCGCATCAAAATGTTGGAATGTCGTTGACGTGCTGAGAGGTTTCGGCCAAGGTCGGCGGCGCTAAACCTACCAAAGAAAACACACGAGAAAATCAGTTATTTCTCAGCATATTCAAATAATGATGCAGAGTCTAGAGGGGTTTGCAATGATTCAAATACAGCTGATTAAACGTTGTTGAGAAGGCATTGTATCAATTCAAGCCTAATTGACCTGATCACTTAGATCCTATTTCTCGGAAAGTCCCAAACCGTGATCATGCCTTCCGTTCTCCTCGTCGGTGCATCTGGCATGCTGGGAGGTAAGTTCCGCATAATCTTTCTCAACACGAGCCAGTGACCTGACAAGCGGTTGCCCTAGCATCACTCTCTCGGCAACTAAAGCAGAAATACCCAACTTGGTCCCTGACTGTTTATTACCGCAATTCTCAGCTAGATGATTGGTTCCAGAACACCGTGGGTGTGGATAAGGTTGAGCATGGAACTTTTGAAGATGTTTCCAGGGTCCGCACCCTTGCTTCCCAAAATGATATCATTATTAACGCAGGGTCATCGTTTGACCCATCCTTGTCAAAGGCGATTATCGATGGTTTGAAAGAAAGAAAACATACTCTGAAAGGAACCTTGATTCACGTCAGTGGTGGTGGAAACTTCATTGATGGCAGAACGGATGGGAAATATGATCCAGCTGGGAAGGTGTGGAATGTTAGTACTAGAGACGGTCCTAATCTAACGGTTTGTTAGAAGGTTCAGTCGTTATTGACACTTTATGTAGGATGCATCCGAAGACGATATCAAACAAGTCAACCCTAGTATGCTCAATGGAGCAGCCGACCGCCTGTGAGTTTTTGACAGGATGGAACTGGAGATTACAGTACATTAGAGCTTTGTCAGCTAACTTTTGCTCAGTATTCTGGACGCAGGTAATGAAGGAAACATCAATACCTTCATTGTGTGCATGGCATTGACCTATGGTCTTTCCGATGGCCCTTTCCCATCCATTGGTGTGGGATACAAGATCTTGACCAGCAATGCGCAGTCCCTAGGATATGTGCCTTACGTCGGTGATGGAAGTAGTGTCTTGAGTGTGGTAAGTTAGACTCGATGTTTCACAAACCAGCAGTCTCTCATTCCATTAGGTTCATATTGATGATGGTCTCAAATTTCTCTTGCGGATCGTGGACATCGCCGCGACCCATAAAGTAGTTGGCTCTGCGGAGAGCCGTTACTATATCACATACGGTGAAAGAGTTTCTTGGAAGGACGTGGCCAAGGTGTTGGCTAGAACTTTGCACAAAAAAGGGGTCTTGCCGTCCCCCGAGCCGCGCAGTGTGTCCATTGAAGAGGCTGGTCAAGGCGAAATCCCCAAGCTGCTGGGATCTAACATGCTGGTGCAAGGTGACAGGGCAACGGAGTTGGGATTCAAAGCTGAAGCCAAGTCTATCTTGGAGTCCATCCCAGAGGACCTGGACGTTGTCGACTTTTAAATTTCAACGTGGAGAGGCTTTGCCGTACGAGGTGTGTCTGAATCGTTATAATTGCGCTCATATTCTTTCCATTATTGTGTCATCCTCCTATCTAGTGTCTAGTGCCTGATTTTAATGCTGTTTCCCACCTGGTCAGACTACCTAGCTAGATAGGGTGCAGGGCGCCAGTTAGTCTAATTGCATCCCGTGAATGCAAGTGATGGACTTTTCTAGAAGCGCCTTGGGTTAATTTCTTTGTTGTCTTTCGCTTATAGAGGCCTTTTTCTATGTACATCCGTGGATATGTACATACTATGTAGTCACTTGTAGCTGTTCAGGTCCTAACGCTGCTATGTAGCGTATTCGGTAAGCGAGTTAGCCCCAAACCTATCAGATACACAACCTTGCCTGGTCAAGTGGAGCAGTCACTACGTACTGGCCTGGATGCGGCGCTACAGACAAAACGCATGATTAACGTTGACAATCCCACAGTAGAAGGACTGCAGACTTGAATTTATACCCATTTATCCCAACTAAAAACAACGGCAACTGCAAGGGTGGTTGTGACGACGGGAAGGCTGAGGTGGGCACCACCGGTTGTACAAAGTTGGGAAATCAATCAGCTTGCTGCTCTACCACCACCTCGACTGACTCCTGGTCCAAATGTGCGTGGATGACCAGCAGCGAGAACGACAAAACATACCCATCAGGTTTCTCCAACTTTGTGGTGGGCTCGCGGAATGGCGGGGGCGGTATGCCCTCGTTCAAGGGCGATAAAACGTACAACTATTTCTGCTCAGGCTCGTCGGTCCCCGATGCCTTCACTAATTACGAGTGGAGGGGTTACAAGAGTCCTAGAGTTGCGCAGATCCCATAAATGGGCCCGAACCCCGGGCCCGAAGCCTCATCCGCGGAGCCCATTAAGGCCCGCATCAAAGCCTATTAAGGGGGGGTTACCTAGCATCTTGTAATCGCTATAACCTTCTACTTTTTATACAGAGTTTAATATACATTTCAAATTTAAATAAAATCCGATCGGGAGAGGTCGAGATACTACGAGAAAAGGGTATATAATATTCAAGTTTTGACAATATATATATTTAGGGTTTGTGTAGAAGTACTACTACTTTCTAAGTGAACTTCTGTAATTTATAAATTATCTAAGTAACGCGCTTTTTCACGTTCTTAAACGTGATATAGAGATACAACTGGTAATTTATTCTAAATTATCTAAACTAATAAAATATTACCTCTAGAATAAGGCTTAGAAACGGGGGTAAAACAAGGGTAATTTTGAAATCCCAAAAAGGGCGTTCAACTTCTCGCATATTTGTACTGTTTAGGGCCTATTGACCCGCAGTGGGCTTCTCCTTAGGCCTATACATCCCCACGCCCATATTGCACTCCGTGGTTTCCTGGACACCCAACAATTTTTTGAACTTTCTCGGCTTCAGGTCCTTATCCAACATAGGGATGCTGCTGTCAAGTTATCGGTTTATCCCGATGACTCTGGCGGGTCTCTGTAGGCGACCTGGGCTAGGCTGCGAATGGAACGAAGCATGTCTTGGGAGGCAACAGGGCTGTACAAGCGCCCCTCACGAGGATGACACCCCTATGAACCGCTGCGGATACAGGCTGTACATATCCAGGTGCTCCCATTGTCCGCCAGGAGCTGAACCAAGGGGCTCTGTTATCATCTCCTCTACGTGCTCAAAGTTCTCTTCGAGCCAATTTTTTGTGCTTCCCACAGAGATAGCTCTCTGTTGTCTGAACCTTCTTCTGAGGCCACTCTTTTTCCGAGGTTCTTTCCTTTTGATGTCACATTCCATTCTTGTCGTCTCTTGTCTCTTGTTGTTTACTTTTGATTCTCTTGATATTGCCGCTTCTTATTCCTTTCTCCTACTTATTTTTCTTAATCTTCCTCTGCGTGAGCCGTACTAAGGGATTTCTAGATTCTATCGGACTAGAATATTGCCCCTTTATTTATAGCGACGACATGACCCACCGAGTAGGTGTCTCTTACGGATGTACGAGCTGATAGTCTATACTTCGACATAGCTTACTTCAACAATACTTAAAACCACTACAATCATAATACATTTGGACATGTAGACCTTATTTTTTATTTTTTATTTTTTTTGCATAATGCGCACGTCATTAATGATCGTGCTTCTACTGGCTTAATAATCAATTATGAAGCTTCCAACCTTGGAAGGTTCTCGGGCCCCGGGGGCCGTTTCTGTGGCTGAATAATCGATTCCGCGAACCACCTGGGCAGGTACCTAGGTAGTTTGCTATAACTATGCAAAATAATTCTCAACACTCGTTTGGGCACTGAAACCTCTTAGTCCAACAGCCCAAGACATGAATACTGTGCTCGAGAGCACTGGCCTAGGGAATACTATTGGTCTTTTGAGACGAGAGCCGCCGTGCTCTCGTTGTCGACAGAAAAAAATCAAATGCGATAAGCAGTTACCCTGTGACCAATGCAAGAGACTCGGTTGTTATTGTTCATACGATGAAACACATGCAAACCTAAGAGAAGTCGACAAATGCATCGAGCTACAAGAGCGTATAGCACAGCTTGAGGCGCAATTAAAGGCTGTGACCTCGGGGCTCCCCACTGCCCCGCTAGAGGGCGATAGGAACGCAGCCAGCACTGCAGAACTGCCCCGCCAAACTCCGCTCGACTGTAGCTGCGGCCGTCAGATCTTCAACTCTAGCTTCTCAATCCACTATGATTCCGCCGTTCACTGGATAGACCTGTTTCCAAATGTTCGTTTCCTCCCGATGAGAAGGTCAAGGGCGAAGACTAATTATTACTGACAGCTCCGGGAGACCTATTTCCAAGTCTTGGCTGACCTGGAATCCACAGCAAACCAGAAGATGAGATATCCCTTTCTCATCGAAGATGGTTTGAACGATGATTTGCTCCTGGCCAAGTATTATCCGTCTCCAGATGAAGCCTCTCGGTTGACTATGCTATTCTTCGACAATGTTCACTCATTCGTTTGCATTCTTAACAAAAATGCCTTTATGCGCGATCTATGTAGATACCACGTGGGGAAGCACCCACAGCGGGAACTCGCAGAGGCTTTACATTTCTCAGTCTTTGGATTAGCCATCATATCACTGAAATCAGAAGATGCACTCAATATATTTGGATTCGATAAAGAACGATTGCTGGATAAATACCAAGAAGCCCAGGAACTCGCCCTTCACAGGGTGAACTTCATCCACAGCAGTGAGCCTGCTGTCTTTCAATGTTTTCTATACTTTCTGGTAGGACAAGAGGGCTTCGCTTAATAGGGAAATTGTGAACAATTTGCTAATAATCCGGTCTCCCCAACACAGATCTTTCTATTTGAACGAGGATCTTGCCGAACTGCTACTTTGCTGTTGAGTTTGGCGGTTCGCATTGCTCAACACATGGGTCTCCACAAGGATCCCACCTGGTTCGATTATTCTCCGTGGGTATGCGAATGGCGACGGAGATTGTGGAATCATGTCATTTTACTTGATCAAAGGGCCATTGCGTTGGAAGGCGTGCCATCCCTGGTCAATTTTTCTTGGGATACCCGACTTCCCACAAATATAGACGATGTTGCATGGAATACAAGTCCCTTCATGAAGCCCAGCGAGGTGCCCCATCCCGCCCTAGGCTTCACGAGTATGACACCCTCTCTTGTCAAACGACACGTGCTCTCAATCCTTTGCCCGCTTCGACAGAATATTAGGACACGTCCATATTCACAGCAACTACGACACATCGAAGCCGGCTTTCAGGAAATGGCTCATTTCTTCAATCCAGCGGAATTGGATAAACAGATAAACTCGGATTTCATGCGAACTTGCGCCGAGATTGAATTCGCATATTTGCGCCTCATGGCTGGCCAGGCAGTGGTCAGGTTCAGTAGTGCGACACCTGAATTTATGGCCCAGTAAGTCTACTAACCTTTCTATGCCACATGGTATCTGCATTTCACTACTTGTTATTTACTGACAGCTACGGAAGACTTTACATCGATTCTATCTTAGTTCTTGAACAGCATGCTTACCTTAAAGATTCTGTCATCAATACAGGGTGGCTGTGGTTCCTTCGAAGTTCACCACCCATTCTTCCTCTTGCAATAATCTTGACACATCTATCCTCGGAGCCGATGAATTTGTATTCCGAGAGAGCTTGGATTCAGATTGACACTTTCTTTGACGAGTATCAAATGGAGAGTGGAATTATGAAGTCTCCATCCATGTCTGCTTTGCAAAATCTACGAGAGGCCGCCCTGAGGTCATCAAAGAAAACTTCGAATCAATTCCCAGTCGCCATGCAGAATATTCAGTCTCTGCCTCAAGGTATAGAAAGCACTGATATCGATTTTTCGATGCTGCCTGTGACAGAGCCTCTAATGGACGTGTGGGATTATTCTGGGTTAGAAGCTCTGCCTTGAGGGATTTCCGATTTTTGGGGGGCACCAAAAGGCATGATAATTGAGAGTCTATCCATGCTTTGTATCCTAATTAACGCCCTTAGTTACGCTGACCACTTCCCGGTATTACAATATATATACCACCAAGTCTATTTACAAATGTACTGTGGAACCTTGCTAAATAAATCTCTCGAATAGCAGAGTATGAATAGACACTGGCCTTGATTTCCCAATGAGTAAATAAAGTAGGCCATAGCGCCTATTATATGTAACAGGAACCCGAAGGTTCCCCTAACTACATAACCTATTTATCCAACCCCAGAGCTTGAGCTTCTATATCAACAGCTTCCGACACGTACTCCCATCTCGATAGCTTCTGAGCTTTCCAGTCAAGAGACCTAATGTGGCTCGCAAGTCCCTGTGAATTTGCGCTCCAAAGCGCTAGTCCGAGATGAAGAGTTGAGGTAAGACCGAGGTAGTGCAGGCCAGATATGTGGGTGGCGGGCTTAGAGAGGACGGAACGGGCTCCGGGTGATCACAGGGGGCGGCGCTTCTTCTGGTCTAGACTCAGCTTGCTATTTTGTTTCTCAGTTGTTTTCTCCTGAAATGACCTCGTTTGCGGCCAAGATGCCTGAGTTCTCGTGGGGCCCACTTTGAATATGGGATGGTGCATACAGGATATATTCGAAGTTTAGCTGATCGAATTGTTTATGCAGATGGTATGTGCAGCCCCATACCGGTAGATAGTCCCTTCTATTTCTCGTGCATCCACAGAGTTTTCGAGAGCCTCTTTCCTAGTAGTTCTAGATCTCTTAACTACTAGATCTATATCATCGACACAAAAGAGTAAACCGTGCAGAGGGCTTTTCTATGTATATACAAGCATCCTACATTGTTCGAGACTCTAATACGAGAACTCATACAGAGATTGCGATCGTCAGTCCCAGAGGCCGTGCCCTTGACTGTATATACCGCGTGGATCACATCTGGCCAGCCAAGTCCGACAAGCTCAAACGTTCACGAACTCCCAAGGTCCCCCAATGCTACCAAGTTATCTTGGCAGCGCATGCCAAGAGAGGGCAATGAAACTCCCGTGTCTTGGCAGGTTACTCCCGGCGCTCAAGGTCCTAAGGCTCAACAACAGAGGCGGAAAAATTATGGCGAATGGCTCTACGCCAACTGATCTCAGCCGCAATAGGCGAGGAAAAATCAGCACAGAAAACGGCTGTTGGGAACCTTGAGGAAATGCAAGTCTTACATCGGCTTTCTCCGAACTTGATGCCATATTGTTATATAAAATGATGGGAAGAGGCTCTTGGGTACCATCCTACATTCTATTCTATTCTATCAAGGAATATTAAACTTGAATATGTTGTCCGAAAAAGATACGACAGTCTCAGATCCAAGCAGGGTTTCCCCGGGCGAAAAGAGAGAAGTGGATGTCCAAGCCACGTCGTTTGGCAGTGAACTTCCTAACAATCCTCCCCATGATCCTCATGTGGTAGATGTACGTGACACCGATGACACAACGTATTTCTACAACACAAACAAGGACAAGGTTGGGCCTTTGACTCCAGAGGCTGAGGGAAGACTGGTCCGTAAGAACTTCTGGTGTCTTCTGAGTCAAACATGGTGGATATCCTTCCTTATTCACCTGGACAAGTCGACCCTGTCTCAGGCTAGTACTATGGGTATCTTCAAAGATGTCGAGATGACCAAAAATGAGTACAACGACCTATTTGTTCTATTTTATGCTGGATATCTTGTTGCTCTTTGGCCAGGTGCATGGATATCGCAACGTGTTGGACACAAGCACTTTATTACCGGGTCACTGTTCCTCTGGGCCCTGTTACTTGGAGTTCACCCTGCAGTTAAGACCGGTAAACAGATGATGGCTGTGCGGTTTCTACTGGGAATGGTTAGTACACCCTCGCGAGCTTCGATTACATACAGCTAACCTTTGCAGACCGAGTCACAGATTGTTCCCTCAACCGCCATACTTCATCAGGCGTTTTTCCCTCCGAAAAAGAGTCCATGGGTGCAGCTCCTATGGTGGGCATTCGGAAGCATGGCAAATGTGATGTTGACAATGATTGCGTACAAGCTCATCATTGATGACAATACGGGAGTTTTGGCTGGGTCTATCAACTCATGGAAATGGCTTCATATTATCTGTGCTGTTTTGACCTTCGCTATCTTCATTCCTCTCCTGATATTTTTGCCAAACTCGCCACTCGATGCTAAATGGCTTTCCACTGAGGAAAAGGTCCACACGATCCAACTTATTCGTGAGACTCACGCTGGAATCTCAAACTCGACGTTCAAGTGGTCGCAGGTGCGAGAATCTTTCACTGACCTCAAGAGCTGGCTATTCATGTGAGACAATTTCCACTCATCCTTTTGTCATGTTCACTGCTAATGCTCTTCTCAGCTTACACATGTTCTTCAACGAGCTCCCCAACAATACATCCCAACAGCTCCCGCTTATCGTCGTCGGATTTGGCTTCACTCCAGCTGAGAGTGCCTTATTCAATATTATAAAGCCTATCTGGGGATTAATTTTGATTCTTGGATCCGCCGTTTTGCTTTATAGTACACGTCTCGGTACAGGGTACACGTGTGCTATATCCTATATTCCTTGCTTTCTTGGTGGTATTATTGAGGTAAGAGAATGCATCCTTGACACCTCTATTCTAGCTTATTGATTCTTTCTCAGCTCGCATCTCCGTGGTCAAACAAGGTGGCCCTAGTAGTTGGCACCCAAATATCTACATTCAAGCCATCTTACCTTCTCGGTCTCAGTTGGGCTGGAACGACAACAACCGGGCACACAAAGAAGCTCTGCCTAATGACTTCTTGTATTGTCGCTGCCTCTGTTGCAAACATGATATCCCCTGAGTTAGTCTAGTCTCAAGACACCTTCTAAGGACTACAGGCACTGACGTGAGATACAGATTCTGGCAATCGAAATACAAACCTCATTATGTGTTGCCCTGGGCCTTCATGACTGCATTCTGGTTGATCTCACCTGCGATGTGTATTATCATTCGTTTTTACCTACAGCGGGAAAACAGACGCCGAGAGCGGCTCCTCGCTGAAACTGATACGGACTCTGACCAAGATGAAGTGATCAATGCTGGTGGCCAGATTGTCAACATTGGGGATCGTGATCATGATAAGACTGACCGGGAAAACTTGAAGTTCTTGTATCCCCTGTAACCTTTTACTCTGTTCCCCTAAAAGGCCAGGTATTTGGAATCTGTTGCGCTGATATATCGAAGATGGTATAATGTGCAGTTCACTGGTGGGGGAAATAGAGGAAAAGAGACTGCGCGTTGCAAAATCTACCCGTGTACCTAGATATAAATATGACGAATGGAAATTCTGGTATCTAGATAAAAAATCGATGTGAAATATTTCGGTTCCACATCACTCGGTCGAAAAGATTTCTGTATTCCAAAATGAACAATTCCTGCTGGGTACATCGTAGAACCCATCCTCACACTCGACATTGTTTAGGCTTTGTTGATTGAGCAAGTGGTCTCTTATGTAGGATTGAAATGGTTCAAACTAGGCTTGTTAGGAGATATCATATCTCGTATCGACAGACTGTTAATGCCGTACAGCTCTTCACTTTTCCGTGCATCAAAATGTCCTCGAAACATACTAGCCCTACCTGAATTACAAGTATGGGTGACTCAGTATGCCACCGGTTCATAAATCTCTCATTGGATATTACCTCGCCGCTTCATTCATCGCCAGAGGCATATACAAGACAAGAATTGCGATCAGCCGCTTATACGGCTTTGTTATGTTCATTTTAGATGTCTTTTGGGATGTCTTTGAGCTATCCTTTTAAATGCTTTTTAGATATATTTTTAGATATATACGAGGGCGGTAAAAAAGTATATTCTATATGAGAGACTTCCCCTAGACTTTCCTATATATGACCTTTGACTATATGATCAATTTTATAATAGCACGACCAACCAGTAATCTTAAACCCTATAAACAATAGATTATATCTCCTTTTTAAACCGGCATGGTCTTCAACTATATAGTTAATTTGTTCTCATTTGTAAAGTGGGAGTCGATCTAAATTAATGCCCGGCAACATGAGAGAGTTATGAACCAGTGGCAAACTTAGTTGCCCGTATACAAGTCTACTTGACTACCTTAAAGGATCATTTATATGCAATTTCTCTCATTTCGATGCCTCCAAATAAAAGCGTGAAGTGCCATAATATCACACTGCCACTGCTAACATTTACCTCTGGGCAGCATAGGTGGCGTAAAATGCGAATGCTACAACGATACAGTTATTTTTCTCTTGCTTGCTTGCTTGCTTGTTTATTTATTTATTATTTGTTCGCTTTCAATTTAGACAAGATTGTATTGGCAGAAAGTAAATATATAATGAACTTTTTGTACTTCAATCAGTCATACAAAAAATGGTGGATGTAACATTGAAAAGACAAATAGGATAAAGACAAGATGATGTACGCCCCTAAGCGCCGAAGGGTATGTAACATGAGAACGATTCGATATGAGAAAAGGATCGACTTTGTGAGCACGACAGGAACAGGTCCAACAAGGAAGGGCAATGAGTTCCCTTTTTTGCAAAGTGAAGACTGCAAACCATCAATATTTAGTAGTAGATCCGATGATCAGAGATTCCCGACATTTGTAGAATCTGCATGGTCAGAAGCAAAAAAAAAAAAGAAAAGAAAAGAAAAAAAAGACGGAAATAAACGAAAAAGTGAATAAAAAAGGTAAATGAGAAAATGAGACCCGATGGCGTTCGATAAAGAATCCCCTGTAACGCCAGACATAGGAATTTAACGGCAAGAGAAGATAGGGAATGTTTTCCGATCGTGAATGTTCAGTGGGAATTCAAAAATCCCCTCCATTGTGGCGATGTACCTGCAGACGTTAGCTTAATTCCCCAGAGTTGTTACATTCCACACTCACAAGGTGCGTCCATCAGCGCCCCAGCCAACTCCAGCAGTAGAATCCGGCTC